AGAATGACCATGTAGTTGTTCTAGGACCCGTGTCAGCCAACCTGATCGCAAGCAAATGAGTGACTTCAGAAGGACGTACAATGACCAGCACACCGGCAAACTCGGCTCCCCACTGCGTCAAGAAGCCGATAATCATTCTCTTGCGGTAGCTCTTCTTCTTGATGCAAGCCATCCACGGACCGTACCCCACCGCCCTGAGTTTCGCGGCGTCCAGAGCGATCTGTTCTTTGGTCTGATACAGTTCCTCCTTCGCGACGAGATCGTCCGGGTCGTCCGGTGATCGGCGCAGGGCCCGAATGACGGTCCAGGCCTCTTCGATCCTGCCCTTCTGGAGGAGCCATCTCGGCGACTTGGGGATCCAGATTGACGTGATTCCCAACACCAACGGTGGAAGAGTCTGGACACACAAAGGAAACCTCCACGCGAAAGACGGGTTCTTGTCCGTGGCAAAATAACACGCGTACCCAAGCCATCCAGAGAGCATGTATCCAAACACCAAAAAGATCGCGTGATGGCCGACCAGCCAGCCACGATTTTCAGGCGGTGCCAACTCAGACAAGTACATGGGGCACGCAGTTACGAGGATCCCAATGCCCAGTCCAGATATGACCCGCCCAACGTGGAACATGCTGTTACAGATGTCAGCGTCGTTGTGGAGGACTCGATAGCGCATGAGGAGCATCAAAAACTTACGCCAGCGCCGCCGCACCACCTTGAAATGCGCCTCCGATGATGGCCAAGAGAGCTCCGAGTTGAATACTTCTTTTGCGGCCAATGGCAGTAGCTGACCAAGCAATGAACAGAGATCCGACTGCTCCGCCTGCACTGTATAAACCGTTCGCCGTCGCAATTGCATCTGTGGTCTTTCCGCCATAACCTGGCTCCCCTTGCATGGGGAGGTCGAAGAATTGATACCATCCTGGCTGGCCAATGGTGCTCCCGATGATGGCCGAACAGTAGCCATATGTCTGATAGAGTCAGTATCTTCCCCCTAGGAGTAATACAGAAGCGTTGATGGAAGCCTTGTGACAGCGACTTACCATAGAACCGAAAGCAACGGCCACTGTTACTAGTCTGTTGTACAGACTCGAGTGAGACGAGACGTGTCTCTTTGTAGCCCCCATGATGGTCGACGCGGCTGGCTAGGAAGAGCCAAGCAGGTATCACTCGATGGAAGACGAAACAGTCCTGAAGAAGAACGGTTTAGGGGAAGGAGAGACAATCCGAGTGATCGGTCCAGAGGAGGGCACGGGGTTAATGTGGTTCGCGGTGGCCAGCAACGGCCATGGCTGGTGGTGAGTGAGTAATATCTGGAGACGGTCTTCGCGAGACCCTGAAGGGCCACCCTTCTTTTTCCTGCGGGGTTCCTGGGGCTGGGGAGCACCTTAGGCCTCGGGGAACGAAGTTAGCCTTCCCGCCCTGAATAATCTCTCCATCGTCCAGCAGCGATGTTGGAGATGCGAGACCGCCAGAAGAGTGCGGGACTCAATTCCCGGCGATTCAGACCAATTGAGAAGACACGCAAAGTTGCCACGGCCATCATTTACCTCGGACCACAGAAGACGGCAGTGGGTGTAGCACGAGAGAGGTTCTTGACGAATCCTGAGGGCGGGCTGGCAAGTGCTGGCTACTGAGGAAGTGTCGGGAGGGACCACAACAATCTCCGGCGACATTTCGAGGCAAGAAAACCCCGTCGAGGCTTGTGGGCCTTGTCTCGCCCAAGCGCCTGGGCGAAAAGAATTCTTGGAATCAAGCGAGCGGAGCGTGCCCTGCAGGTCGCCTTTTGCAGAATGACTCGTACAGAGTGGGTAGCCCATTTTTGGAGCCAAAATCGATGATAAGAAGCAAAGACCATCCCCGTCCCAGGTGACAATCCACCAAGGATTCTGGGGCATGCACGTTGGGACACTGCCTCGCTGGTAGTGGACTGCACGGTCAACGCCAGGTCTGTGAGCGAGACGATCAGCAGCGCCAGTCAGCAAATGGTTCTCTCATTGTCCTTAGGTAGAAGTGGTCCACAGAAGCAGCAGGCATGAGGCGGGACGGCGCGGTGCCTAAAGGTTCCGTCCAGGCATGTGTAGCATGCTAGGGTACCTAGCGGGAAGCGCTGGTATTGCTAGTGAGACAGGGGAGGTTGCGTAAAAGTCAGCGAGAGGCAGGATAACTGCCAGTGGCCAGCCACATGTCGGTACATATATCTTGCCTGGTTATGAACATCGGGAGACATAAAAGATGCGAGTTGTTGAAGTTGAAGTGGTCGATGAAGCTTGGAAAACTCTGCCCACAAAATCCTTGATCCGCTTAAAGCAGCAACAACAGTAACAGCAACAACTGCACCAGCAAAAACAGCAACGAATGGCCACATGCCAGCTTCATTCATTCCTCCTGCCACTTCTCACCAAGGACCAGGAGCAGCTGCACTACTTCCAGTCCCGGAAGATGTAAGAATGCTTCGACTGCAGGAAATGTGCATCTTGCTTATCTGGACACCTACTGTTTCACGACCGGAATCTCGACGCCCGGCCACGTTCTGGCCCACGTGATCTCGCGCCGCTTTTGCTCAGGCTGGCTCGCGCCCGGCTCAACGTCGGCTCAAGCTCGGCTGGCACCTAGCCCAGGTCGTAATTACCCGTCCACCCGAAATTTAGCCGCCTTTGTTTACCAACGCGTTCCTACCACCCGCACAACCTGGTATGCAACTATGGCACCAACAACTCGTGCAAATTATCGTCCAACGACGCTCCCGAATGCGATAGGCCCCTGTGAGGCTAACACAATAAAAAATCCCGGTTTTTAAATGTCTTGGATGAGAGGCCAGGGGGTCAAAGTCAGAGGGCCTTCTATAACCGTACCGGGTACTAGAGTACTATATAGTCTAATAACCCATATGGTCTAATGACCCACGAAATCCAACCCCGCCACCTTTTAAAGTCTCCGACGCAGCACCAACACAACTACTCCATCATCTGAAGATGTAGATGAGTAGTCTGAGACCTCATCTTCTTCCTCGTCCTCACTTTTAATGATAGGTTGCCGACCCGATCGTCCACGCAGCCTTTTCGCCGGTAGCTCTACCTCCGCCTCTCGCGCGATCTCCAACACTTTCTTCGTTGAGAACATAAATTCACCTTCTAACCTAACTCTTTTACCTCGTTTATAACTCTTTCGTGCCTTGAGTAACTCCTCTTACCCTTCACATTGTCGTCGAAGAAGCGTGTTCTCGGCAGCGAGGGTTTCCGTCATGCGGGTCAGTCGAGCCACATATCGCTTGGCGGGCGAAGGAAGCCCGGGTGTCTGCGCCAGCACGGAACCATCCAACAGTACATTGGATCCCCGGAGCTCTATACCATCTGGGGGAGAGCTATGAAGTAATGAGAAGTTGAGATTACGCCCTTTAAGTAGTGTAATCGGAAGAGGCGCGTGGGTGATCGTATTTCGTGGAGACGGGTTAGTACTCTTTACGGGTCGTTCGGGACTGATCCGGGGCCTCTCTATCCTGCAAGGATATTATCGAGCTTAACGGCCTTCGCCCGAGCTCGAATAAACATTTCCAGCCATTCTAAACGCGAAATGCGCTGAGGGCTGAGCCGCGAGGTTATGTCGGTCTCGTTTAAGTGGGCGCGCTTAAATGCCGAAAACACCCTAACATCGAGCGGCTGAAGGAGATGTGAGTAGTGTAGCGGCGTAATGAGGAAGTCAATGTTATTCTCCATGCAGGAGGCAATGAAATCGGCTCGAATGTAACTTCGATGGCCGTCAGCGATCAATAATCGTGGCTGACCAGCCGCTTTCTGACGCGTCTGAGGCTCAAGCACCTACATCAACCACTGTAACCCGAGAAATGTTCGATGTCCAGCCGCGCTCACTGACTGCGAAATGCCAGTCGCAAGGGGTTTGAGATGGTAGCCATTCGGAATTGATGTTTTTGCCCTTAAAGATAATCATCGGTGAAAGGGCGTCTCTGGCCGCGTTGATACATTTAATGACCGTTACCCACTCTTACTTCCCGACCACGACCTTGTATTATTGCGTCCGGTCGAGAGGGACTAATGCCTTCGTGGTCTAACTCTCTCCGACCCTAAAACCAGACTCGTCCATGTTCCAGACGTTCGAATTGTCATATGCGCGCTCTTGAAATTTCGCGGCCACCGCATCAAACCAGGCGTTCACCTTGTCATATGACGCGCCATTAAATCGTTGTGGTGTTCCTGACACTGATTTCGACGCCAAAGTCCAGTGGCCCAGTATGAGGGTCTATTGCCGCTTGGGGAAATAGTGGAGAGAGTTCCCGTTCCATGTCCTCGATCCCGGTCGGCCAATGTAGTTCTTCCAGCGTGACACCATTTGGAAGATGGAAATCAACAACCTCCGTCGGTTTGAAATGAAACAGGGCGGTGTAGCAGTCACTATTCTTCTCGTCGGGTTCAAAACCGTTGCGTTAGGCTTATACATACCTTCGCAATATGATACCACTATCACCATGGGAAGCATCGAAGACACTGGTGTGGCCAATTCGTGAGGCGTTCAGCTGGAATAGTAAGGGTTTTTTTTTTGTCTACACTTCTTGAATTACTCCCTGTATTACTGACCGGGCGGCGAATCTGGTGGTTCAAGAACCTCCTTTTGGGCATTATCAGGCATGGGCATAGCATTCCACATCTAGTTACGCTTGCTAGTGTTGCCCCGAGTGCAGACGGCCCAAAGGAAAAGCCAATGAAACACCCTCATCTATTCATGCGCAGCTGAAAGCTCCACCAACGGTTCCATCGTTGTAGGCATCGACGATACTTTTCGTAGTGGTATACGTAGCGGCAACAGTGATAAAGGAACCAGGGGCAATCACTGCAAAGTGAAGGCTGCACACAGCCATCTTCCTCCAGTTGGATCCGTGATTTCCCCGATCAATGTAAAGCCCCATGAAAGCTGGAATGACGAGCTTTGTACAAAGTTTCAGGTCAGTTGGGCTAATCACTTTCAAAGAAGTGGTAGAACTTTCTCAATCAACTGGAAAATTCTAAAAGTCGCTCGATCTCCTTCATCACTCCAATGCACTTTTCCTCTCGCAGTCGTTGACAAACGATCTGCACGCCAACGGGTGCATTCTCGAACACCTCTGCGCTAGTAACTATGCACGATTAGACAAAGTGTCATTGCTGGGGCCGTGGCTGGTAGACTTACACAATTCCTTCATCTCGTTGTCCCCTAAGTCATAAGGGAACCTCACAGGTTCGACGCGTGGATACGGAGTTTGGTCTAGCCACTCTCTCTCTGGCGAATCGTCCCTGCTGACTGTGGTTACAGGAATACTTCCGGTCGTGTAGTCCAACATGTTATATATAGTAGCATATGAATTGCTGATGTACTTTCCATGTGGCGGAGCTGGATGTGCGACGGCGGGAGTCAAGATGGCATCCATTCCATACTCTTGCCAAAGAGTTGCATACTCGTAAGCAATCTGTCCCCTCTCAATATGGTTTGCGAAAACCTCCTCAGTCGTCAACAACGAGTCCGACGACCCGGTAGCTGTGCGCGGAACAACTGGCTCCCCTGAAGCCTGAATATGCTTCATGACTCCTCGACCACCGTTCTGCACGTTGGATTTCATCACACATGCTGTTCCCCGTCGATGCAAAGTCTTCAGTTTCTCGGCGGGCAGCTCTACAACCCTGTGGCCACCAGCCACTAGTGCAGAGGCAACCTGTTCCAAAGCTCTCTGCATGTGGTTAGCATGATCCTGCACTATCGTCTCCAGTGGTTCTCAGAGTCATTTCTCACCCGTACAGGCTTGGTCGGTGCGACCACGCCATCATCCCGAAGCACGGCAATCACCAATTTTGAAGTCGGGAGATGTGCTTCTTGTATTCCCCAGGCCATCGGGACACACCCAGGATCGACCTTCCATGGTTCTGTTGCCAACTGTATCCGCATCCACCACTCCAGGCCAGAGACAGTTTTTGCAAGTGGTCCAAGGCCAGCATTGACCGATTCATTGCCATCAATCATTAACCCAAGTCCTCGACATGACAACCGCCCTTTGGAGCATTTCAATGCCCACAAGCCGCAGAACATGGCCGGAAAGCGAAGACTTCCTCCTCCGTCGGTCCCGGAGCCGATTATACTGCCTTTAGATGCGATCAAAGCACCTTCACCTCCGGTGGAGCCCCCTACACTCAAACTCAAGTTGTAGGGATTTCGAATGGCTCCAAAAATGTTGTTGATACTCTCAACCATAAGGCAAGCTTGTGAACAACCTGTCTTGGCATATAGAATCCCGCCAGCTGCCAGTATAGCGTCGGCGACGTCAGAATTCTTCGAGGCAATGTTTGGAAGCCAAGAAACCAGTCCGAGAGTCGTTGGTTGTCCAGCAATATCAAACATGTCTTTGAGTGAGACTGGGATACCGTGCATGGGACCTGTAACTGTTCCATGTTGTTCACGGTGCGCATCCAAGTCTCGAGCCCGCTGTATCGCCTGCTCGGGAAAGAAGCAGGTAAGGCATGAAGTGCATTGATGTGCGATTGCTGCCCTCTTGCAAAAAGCAGTAGCCACCTGTACGGCAGTATACTTCCCGCTTGCAAACGATGACCGCAGTTGCTCGACATCTCGAATGGACGTTATCTCCAGATCGAGGGCATCAAGTATGCCACAACGAAGGACTCTTGGATCTTCAGGAGGAAGCTTTCCCTCTTCCGCCACTATCTTCAGATCCGATGGTAGACGCCACGCTTCGGGAATGGAAGCCTCAAGAGTACGCCGGGCATCGGCTGCTGCTTGACGCCAATCATTGATTTGGAAAGGAGGTGACATTTAAGCAGCAGTTTGACTGGAACAAAGGCGACTTTTGATCTTGCTGAGACTATATTTGCAGATTATGATTGTCTCAGGGTAGCGAGGAGTGCATATTTAAGGATATTCGATAACACGAAACATAATCGCCCCGCGGGCAATTTCGCATTAGTGAGAAAAAAAATGTTCAATTATGAGAAGCTTCGAAGAGTTGGAGACCCTTTAACGGAACGCTCGGCCCAAGGTCGAAGTCCATAGAACTTGGATTGAGCATTTACTGGAGATGCATCCGCGACATTGTTCGCAAATTTTGTCTTTGATCTATGGACAAGATACAGGGGCGCACTCAAAGCAGTTACGATTACCATTATCCGGAACATAGACTAAAGATTTCACTTGACTCTATAGTGCCACCTTATTATCAGACAACGTGGACTACACGTTTCAAGTTTCAAATTTGATTGTTTGCATCGATGACCACAATACCTAGCAGTCCTTTTCCTTGCTCGCCTCTGGGAAAAGACTCGGGCGTTCTTTGTAGCGGCCAGCAAGACATACTGCGCACCAAATTTCAATGGGTCGCCAGGGTTGATCCTCATAGCGCCTTTGGCTTTTGAGTCTCCTCAAACTCAACAGTCTCCACTACCTGATCCTGTTCAATAGGCTTGCCATGGAGCTCAGCATTCTCGATCTGGGTGATCTTGGCCCCAATACCGGTACCGACATAGCTTCTGCTCCTCCAGGCAGGAACTTTTGCGTGGAACAGTTCGTCAAGCTCCTCCAAACTTCTACCTCTCATCTCTGGCACGATTAGATAGATAAAGGCCATAGTCAAGATAGAACAGGCACCATAGACCATACCGATCTTGGATCCAAGATTTCCCGGACTTCCCTGGACGTAAGGATTGACGTAGGTGATCAACACGCTGCTCGAAAACCCGATCATGGTGGCTAGAGCGATGGTGCGCTCTCGAAGCTGCGTGGTGCCAACTTCCGCTGCAGTACTCATCAATTCACGAAGGCAACACTCTGTAGAAGCGAATGGACTTACCTGTCACTGTCCACATAACTGATCCCCAACAGGCGACGGAGACGAATTCCTGTGTCAAGTTCAGCGTCTATTGCTCGCCTGAGGCTGGGAGGATTGCTGCTGTACTCACATAAAGCATGATGGCTGCCACGCATCCCTGCGCAGTTGCTCCTTTCACACCTCCGGACTGCCATGATGCAAGACCACTCACGGTCCACATGAGAGCAGTCATCAGGAAAGCACCACCGATCAAGAGTGGACGCCGACCGATTCTGTCGCTCAGAACAAAGGCCACCAATGTTCCGGCAAACCCACAGCATATACTGGCTAGCTGGATAGTGAGAGGATCTTCCACACCGATTTGTTCCAGAAAGATGACAAGGTAAGTCATCATGAACGAATTGCCCTGGGCCTGTTGTAAAACCTGAACACCAACTGCAACCAAGGTGCGTCGGCCGTTCGTGCCTTTGAAACAGTCAATGTAGCTCGTCGCTTGATGAGCCTCTTTCTCTTGATTCATGGCTTGGTCAACCAGATCTAGTTCCTCAGTGACTTGCTCATCAGTCAGCGTGCCATGGCGCACATAGGCCAAGGCTTTCCATGCCTCGTCTCTTCTTCCTTTAGAAAGAAGCCAGCGGGGAGATTCGGGAATGAACCAGACCGCGCAGAGGAGCAGGCAGGGAAGCACGAACTGTACGACGATTACTGTGATTGCAATGTTAGCTTCTTCGCCAGACGACGGAATTACTGCAGGAACTCGCCAGTTAAGTACTCCCACTTGCCACTTAAATGTTTTGATGAGCCAACAACGACGCCTGAAGCAATGATTGCCCCAAGAAACAGCCAGCTTTGGTAGAAGTTGATAAGATTGCCTCGAATCGACGGAGGTGCAAGTTCGGCCATGTACATTGGAATGCAGTTGGCTTCGATTCCTAGCAGGAGTCAGTGATATATTCTTGTCACAGGTCAGGGTCTTATGATTTACCCATGGAGACACCGTTGACCATTCTTCCGACCATTAGGCCCCAATAGTTGCGGACCGAGCTTTGGATTATCATCCCAACAAGGGCAATGATGCACAGAATGACGATGGTCTTTCTCCTTCCCAGCTTGTCGGAGAGCATTCCCGCAATGCCGCAACCAAGGATCCAGCTGGCAACTGGTGTACCGCTCGCAGCGGACAGCCAGGATGATGGAAGAGTTCTTGGCTCGCCTGGACCATTCTTACGCCCATAAGCTGCCACAAAACTTGGAAGGCCAATAATTCCACCCCACCAGGTGTTGTCGTAGCCAAAGTTCTGTGCCAGGGTAAGCTGTCAGCGAGCCATTGTAGCAATGTCATCTGGCAAAGTCGTTCCTAGCGCCCGCACGTACCATGGCACCAATCTGAAAGTCAATAGTCAGCGTTCGCATCCCCTGAACTAAGTAGTCTCACTCACCGAGCAGAAGAGAAAGATGCGCAGCAGCCGTGGCGTAACTACGGAACTCTTTATCAATTTCATCTTGATTTATAGTTGAATGATGAAACGACACAATGTCAATGTGCAAGGCCAGAATGAAGCGAGTGTTGCCGGTTCTTCAGGACATAGAATTGGAGTTGTTGAGATGCTTGCACCTGCAATTGCAGGCCATCGACGGCATTTAATACCACAGAAGGCTGGGACCTCTTTTTGTCGAAGCCGAACATGTACCTCACAGGAGGATAGGTTTGATAAGATGGTCTGGATCAGCTCGGTTGCACGTCGCCCCGCGGGCAACTCTAATCAGCTTTAGTACGACATTCTCGAGAGTTCGTGATGAAGGTGGATACTTTTTTAGGCCCTTGACGAGAGTCTTTTGCGTGGAGCTGTGGAGCTTGAAAGCTTGACAGTGCCTACTCCGGCTTTGACTTCTTTTGCCTTTTGTTACCTTCTTTCCGACCACGTCCTCTGCGACTAAAGGTCCCCGCGGGCGACTTTTCTTCGACTTCCCATCTCATACCCAAAGCACGGCATTGTTCCTCAATTCTAACGAATTACAGCTCGTGTAGGAAAGACCCTAGAAGATCAAGCGACTACCCATTCCAATGTGAGCTAGGCTTTGTTGTTGTTGAGTCTGACTTGTCGTCCAGCATCTATTGAAGTAAGATCAGTACTGCAAAGATCAGTATGATGCGGCGAATAACAAGGGCTGTTGCCAGGAATCACTGACCTCACGGTAGTGGCAGCCTGGGCCACATGGCCAGCCGAGCCCCGCGGGGGAATACTAGTTCACCAGCCCAGACCCGAGACCGGACCAGCGATGCCAGCCATCGACGTTACAGATCCAAGAAACAACGTCCGTAAGGGTCTCCGTTATCACCTTGCCGGCGAACATACTTTCCAAGTTATCCATGACTGATCCTGTTCCTTTGCAGTTGTGACGGCTGTCGGCGGCGCCGGGTCGGATGTTTCCTGGAGCAAGGTCAGCCTGCTTGCACATTGTGTCGCCACCGAGGTGTAGAGTGCACCTTCGAATCAGCTCCACCTGTGAAGAAGAAGCGAGCACCTACACCTCAGGATAGGAGCCCTACGGTGACAGCCAGCCAGTCTAGCCATGAAGAGATCACACATGCCAGGGATCCGCCCATATCCGACATTGCTTGCATTCACTCACCGTCAAAGTCAGATGATGCCACAACATCATATGTTCAACCAAACTATAGAACGTACGTGCCCGGCCGTACAGTTCTGTACGCAGGGTTCAGCAGCGACCAAGATGTCAATCTGCTGCGGCACTTGCCCTTTGATGAGGCTCAATCATTCGGAACCGACAACTGGCGAGTGTGGAAGGCTTTCCCCCATGAGACTGCCCCTGCCTATTTCACGGTTCGTGCTATCCCCAACAGCCGTTGCTTTCGAAATCGTCGCGGCTTTTCGGAGGACTAATCTCCACTTCAGTCCTATCCAGATTTCCTCCTCGACTGTCGCGCTGGAATTTATGACCTTGAGACTGTGGAGGGAATGGTCCACCCACACCAAGCTTCACTGATGGATCTGTATTATTCATATGTGCATCCCCAGTACCCTATCTTAGAGAGCCGGGATACTCTGGAAAGAGCGATCAGAGCCCGCTCGGTTCCGTCTTCACTCCTTGCTGGCATGTACGTCGCAGCCACATCATTTCTCGACGATCCTCCCGAGTTTTCTGTCACGCTCGAGGACATGTACACCTTCATCTTCAAATCGGTGACTTATGAAGCGAGGACCCCTTCACTACGGACGATCCAGGCCATCCTCCTTTACATGCAGTTACCACCGCTGAGGGTCCGGGAGCCCAATCATCCTGGATTCTGGGCATTGACAAGCCAAGTAAGTAGATCAAATCTTCAGTCCGCAATAGTCTTCAAGATCCTCACGCTCTAAAGGTTGTTGCTCTCGCACAAGAGATTGGCCTGCACGCCGACCCAGGGAAGTGGAACATAGCTCCGTCCGAGCGTAAAATACGGCGGGTATTATGGTGGGCAACGTATATGCAGGACAAATGGTTGGTTATCAACCGGAATTGGTTTTACATCTCGCTAACCATCCTAGGCTCGCACATTGGCTTGGGATGCCCAGTCATATCAAAAACGATCAATTCAATGTTGAACCGCTCAGCGTGGACGATTTCAGCGAACAGTTGCAGATTGACGCTACGTTAGCTCCATCCGTCGAAGGTTTTGTGGAACTGACCTACTTGACCACCATTTTATCGAACGTTCTCGACAGCCTCTACACAGTAAGGCGTGGCCCGAGCGCCATGACACCAGCAGAAGTACTTTCGCATGCAGGAAAATGTCAATCCCAACTACGTGAATGGCAGTCACAGCATCACGCTCTCCTGACACGGCCGAACAAAGTTATCACTGGTGTGTTTGGCAGTTTTAGACATTCCTATTTTAACATTGACCTAACATTTCACTAGACTACGTCCTTTTGCTGGCGTATTATGGCATTGTTATCTCCATACAGCGGGCTCTGTTCTCATGTGTCGGAGGAACTTCCTACTACGACATTGAACGCGAGGGTCTGCTGTTCCGTCAACTATTTGCAGTCTTCGAAGAACTCCTACAGCAAGAATTCGAGGGTCTTTGGCTCAGTTGTAAGTGCACAACCCTAGTGTGGCGACAATAACTGATGACTATTTGAGCGTAGATTGTAAGCCAAACATTGCAATACTGGGGACATTCATGATTACGGCTCTTCTTTCTAGCACGGATGATGAGGTATATATTGCTCGTCGGTCAGCTTTAGACCAGTATCGTGGCTTACTTGATCTAATGGCGGAGAGATTGGATTTTGCGGCACTCCCTCGCTTGCGCCTCAATCTCCTCGTGGAACGCTTTTCCAGTTCTGACTCTGGAATAGATCCTGCATTGAGGCAGAATTGATCTTGTTCGAAGATATATGAAATTACCAGTCAATTAAGACTCGTTCGCTATCGGGTAAGAAGATGTTAGATCTTTTCAGAATGAATAAGTGAAAGTGCATTAATTAAGAGTCCTACTCTCTATCACAGAGAGCGATGCTCTAGGGTCTATATATATATGTTCTACTAATAAAAACGAGTGTAAATAGCACCGAAAACCGGTAAAGCGTCTCGTTCTATAGAGCGATTAACCTTCTCTATGAGGAGAATAATAGGAGAGTATTCGCTAAGTAAAACAATTAAGTTAGTCTTTAAAACGGCTATTTTAGATGCCTTCTAGTATCTTAAGCCTCGTACACTTCCTAATTAGCCGGCTCGTTCGTAACGAGGCTTTACTAAACGAATTATAAAAGGAAAAGATAAACGAAGAGGTGGCGATAGTGTTAGAGCGATGTCGGAGTGCCTCCTAAGTCCAATAGAAGAGTTACCAGGCATCTCAGTAGATGCCAGTAACACGCGGAGGGAGTATGGTTTCCCATTCTAGCGTACTATCCAGCCATTTTCTCTCGCTTACCCCACGACAGTCTAGTTGTAGAGCGAAGTCTGGTGCAGCCCTTATCAGCGCGCACCTAGTAACACATGTAAATGACAGACAGGCCCTGAGTGGATCTGTCCAGGAACCATATGGGTAGGCAATAGATCTTGACCGATCTCGGATGACCCACGGGGTCTCTGTCCGCTCCTGGCATCTCATCGCCCCGCGGCCGATATGTGGCAAGCACGAATAGCATCAAAGTACGCCGAGTGATATGGTGGTACTAAAAGAATTGTACGTACTGTGATGGCCTGGTGTGGCATTCCAGAATGCAGTCTCAATACCCTAGAATAGGCGTATAGTATCTGTCTTAAAATTGTTTTATCCTTTCGCATCTCTCTTCCTTCGCCAGTCGCACGGTCTACAGTGCAAAACACATACCAGGCTGTCTCCAATCATGGGTATTATCACTACCATTACGCAGGTACAGGCCTTGACGCAGTATCCGTAAGTGAGAGTTCCCAAAGGTATGGTTTGGTGCTCACGATTGGTAATAGCTGTCCGCTGCTGGAGGAACGGTTCTCGATCCTAAAGCAGTCGATCGTCAAACCACAAGATAGAAAGCGAGTTATCGAGTCTTACAATCGTCTCACCTCGGCTCTAGAGGTGGAGGCTGAGAGAATCTCCAAGCAAGGTTCAAAAGCGATCCCGGACATTGACTTCGCGACCGTCGAGGAGAATAATGGTCAACTGCCAGAAGGCTTGGGTGAGACGATACGCCAGGCGGGATGTGTCATCATCCGTAACGTCGTCTCAGAGCAGCAGGCCACAGCTTGGGAGCAGGAATTGAAGAGTTACGTGAAAAGGCACCCTGGAATAGGAGGATTTCCCACACACGATCCCCAAACCTTCAGCTTGTTCTGGACGCCGCCGCAAATGCAAATACGGAGTCACCCCAAAGTCCTCCAGGCGATGAACGCCGTCAGTCAACTATGGCACCTGACCCGAGATGACACCTTGTTCGACATGTCGAGTCAAGTTGTATATGCCGACAGATTTCGCATCAGACATCCTTCAAAAGGTGTGCCATACTCTCTCCCCGGGCTGCATAACCACCTTCCATTAACCGTCAAGCAGACTCCGAGTTCACTCTCAACGCTCACCAGGATACCGGCTCCATTGAACGATGGGAGGATCCCACATATCGCTCCTGCTACGAGCCGATCTTCGAGGGTCGTTGGGAGGAGTATGACCCGTGGAATGCCGATCACCGCGCGGAAGCAAAGAGCGACTTGTACCAAACAGGAAGTAAGAATCCAGTCTACTCTCCACAGTAGCCTGAAATTGAAAATGTGCAAGACTAACGACTGGCGCCCTGTTGAATAGCATCATGTTCGGTATTCCGATCGCTGCAAGGTTGGCTCAGCATGTCTCACACAAACACCGGCGAAGGAACGTTGAGACTCTTGCCAGAGCTCAAGCTCTCGACGGCGTACCAATTGCTGCGGCCGTATTTCATCCTCGATGAGATGTTCGATGAGGTAACACCGTTGTTTCCAGGCGCGACGCCAGGGGCGACACAGTTTCTGCCCACGCGAGAACTCCATCCACATTTACTGATGGAGAAGAGTATGGTGGGCATTCCGCCGGTGAAGCCCGGTGACTATGTCTTCTGGCACTGCGACCTGGTGCACGAGGTGGACAAGTTCCACCCCGGAACACGCGATTCGTCAGTCTGCTACAACGGCTGCGTGCCGCTCTGCCCATACAACTTGGAGAGTCTCGTGGGTATGCGGCAGAGTTTCCTCGATGTCCTGCCGCCAAAAGACCACACCAATTACCCTCACAATGAGCTGGAGCGCGACCATGCCGACCACGGTGCTCGGCGCGAGAACATCCTGTCGCTTCCGGGGCTGCGCGCCATGGGCCTGGCACCATTCGATGCGAATGAGGAAGGGCTGACACTAGGACAGCGACGAATGCGTCAACTGGCGAACGAGAGATTAGGTTTCAGCAAAACTTCGGAGGGCCTCGCCGAGTGATAGGTGTATAGAAGATGGAACCGCTCGGCGCCTACATAAACGCTGAAAACTTGTCTACTTGAATTTTCCATCATGAAGAACACTACTGTCGTCAGGTGGCCCATGTGTTAATTAAAAGCTAGGTTGTCGGCTCTTCGTCAACACTGTCTATCTAAATCTACCTTGCCGTCAAAATAACAGTACACAAGCGCCAACATGCCTTGAGCAATGGATCACTTGACTCGCTGTCCTCGTGGGGACCCGGAACTGCAAGGGGTGCGGGATAATGGCGAAGCTGGACACAGACTCGCCCAATTTAGAGAAAGGGAACTTTTGTGACCATAACGTCAACTAGAATCGGTGGGCCGAGTTATGGGCACTGTGCAAGTAGGCTTGGCCGAGGCGGTAAATTGGCAACTATAGGCCGGGTACCAGGGAGCCGACCCTGGCCCAGATATGGGCGCGAATGCTCAGGCCGCACTCCACCGTGCGCAGTCACGTTCAAAAGCATCCCAGGTTGAAGCGGCGAGGGCTCAGGGCCACCCTCAGGTCCAGAGATGGAAATGGAAAGGCCTCGTGTCGAGATTCCGATATCGAAAAAGCTGTTTCTTGTAGCTTCCGAACCGCAGATCCTCACATCAGTGCCGCTATCCTCGACGCAGCTTGCCAAGGTATCAGCGCAAGCGTGCACGACAAGGCAAGGCATGCCATTGACAGAGCTCGATATGAATCAGCTCAAGACAGCACAACGGTTTTTTCGGGGCAGGTCTATGTCATTGGCGATCTCTATCAGACGCATGAGGCCCGGTCAACACAGAAGGATCCTGGAGCATCCTCCTCCAGAGAATGTTGCCATATTGGAGCTCACAGCCAGTTCCGCTAATAACAATCATGCAGCCTCTCTTCTCAACATGCCTCCTGGCCCTTGGATTTGGAGACTCGAGCGTTCCCCTTTCATGACATATCTTCTTGCAAAACCATCGTCCTGCAGACTGCACCATTTGTTGACGAGGATTTGTATGAGAGTGTCTGACATGCTTTTTGGTTCATCGGATTTCTGGCTTTCCCTTTATTAATCTAGTGACTCTATTGTCATCCGAAAAGTGACAGAGTTATCTTTTCAAGTCCTTCTCAACATCCTTCAATACCTTCATTAACCTATCAAGACAAACCGTCAGCACCACACCACGTCAAGGAAACAATCGCAATATCATACCTTTCTAACCCCATGCTCAGTTCCTCTCTCGGTGTCGCAAACGTTATCCTAAAATTGCCGTTCTTCTCACTGGCGAAACTCGCCCCCATGGCCAACCACACGCCGCCGTGGGCCATTTTCCAATTCAGCTCCAGCTCGGCCTCGACGCTGTCCTCTCTGAGGTAGCGACTCAGGTCGACCCAGATGAAACTCGTCACGCTCGCCTTGGTGTAGGGAATGTCGTGCTGTCTCAGAAACGCGGTGGTGAACTCGTAAGCGTCCGTCATCCTCTGCTGGAGCAGCGGGAAGTACGTGTCCAGAAAGGGCCGGTCTTTGAGGAGATTCAGCCAGGCGTGCTCGGCGAGCTGGGAGGCGCGGCTGAAACTCGCCACGGCGCGGAAACACCGCATGACGGTGCCGTTGGCGGCGGGCGAGATCAGCGCGCCCACGCGGATCCCGTTGGCGCAAAAGTCCTTGCTCATCCCGTAGATGACGTGCACCAGCGACGGGTCGATGTACTCGGCCAGGTTGAACGAGAGCACCGACACAAAGGGCGCCGGGTTGGGGATGTCGGTGCTGGGGAAGTTGGAGCGTGCGTAGACCTCGTCCGAGATCAGGTGGACGTTGTGCTTGGCGCAGAGCTGCATGATGCCCGTGAGGAAGTCGTTCTCGTACGGTCTCCCCAGCGGGTTGTGCGGACTGGACAGGAGGATGGCCCTGATTGGTACGCCGGCGGCGTTGGATCGGTGTAGAGCAGCTTCGTAGAAGGGCACCGCCGCGGCGGAGGTGGGATCCGTGTCAGGGCCAAAGGGTACAAGGACGGGCTTGACTCTGAGAAAGTCCTCAAACTCATGCGTGCCATGGTCAGCTTCTGACCGCACGGACGAGATCCTCAGTGCGTGACGGCGTGTTTGCTCCAAATCGAAAAGGATTCATGACAGAAATACACAAAACAAACCAGGAAGTACTCGCCACATTACACGTGAAAAAGAATGCGAGATGGCAGGGGGGTGGAAAACGTACTTTGCCCTGGCTTCGATATCCGGAAAAAATCCCACATAGAGCGGCCTGCCCACGAGGATGCCGTCGCCAGGCTCCCCGAGACAGAAAGCCAGATTATCCACGGCGTTGCCCGCGCCGAGACAGACGCAGACGTTCTTCTCGTCGATGCCCATGCTGGGGTGGAACACGTCGCGCACGAACGCCGCCAGCGCCCTGCGCAGCTCGAGCGACCCCGTCGGCCCCTGCCCGTAGGTCAGGTGCCACGGCGTGATGGCCGTGTGGGCGTTGATGTGCGCGCAGATCTCGTCGCGCATCAGCTTGTTCTCGGCGATGGCCAGCGCGACGATGCCGTCCGGGTTGGTTTCCGGGTCGTACTGGTTGTGGAAGCAGTGCGAGCGGACGGCGTGGAGGTTTGGTGTGGGCGGGACCAGGTTGGAGAGTGCCCGCTGCGAGACGTAGTAGCCCTTCTCTGGCATCTTTTGGTCCTTTTCCCCCCTGTCCGTGGACGAGGACTCGTGTCTGGGAGACGGGGAAGTAGAGAAGGTGGCGGGGTGGATGGAGGGATGGAAATGAGATGATGATTTGATGGAAGCGGTCCTCCCACGAGGAACAAGAACAGGGAGTCGTTTGTACATGTATCATGGATTGTAGCCCTGGCTGAATATTTCCATGATTGAGAGAGATGTTTCGTTGACGTTGATTGATGGGGAGAATATGCACTAGATCCATGAATCCATGTGGAACAACCAATAAGAAGTAGAGATGTTGCGTCTAGTCAGATGTAGCTACATGTACCTCGTATATCTTCGACCTCCTCGCAATTTACGAGCCTCGACCATCAACCTGCACAAGGTGACAGAAGTTATCTATCACGGAATTTGCACCTTGCTCGATCTCACTCTACTTCCTCCTCGCCGTATGTCCGTGTCGCTGGATGGCGTATTCAGTTGGCATACAACTTTATTTAGGAAAAGCACCCTATCTCTACCCGAATATGCTGTCCCTCGTCATCCCCATCATGCTGACTTTGTAAAGGGGTGAAGCCAATGATAAAAAGAAATCATCCAACAAGGCTGGATACAAAGGGTATGTATGCACAACCTAAAATGCGTAACTTGACATGAGACATACTACTTTATAGGAATCTTCCCATCCTAGCGAATCAACACAAAGCGAGCAACTCTTTGACAGTGTGCTTCTCGATACTATTGACCACGTCCCGAATGGCCTTGGCCTTCTCCTCGCCCGACACCGGGTTCACCAGGCTGAAGAACTTGGCGTCGACCTGCTCGCGGGTGAACGGGTGCTGCAGCTCGCCGAGGGGATAGGGGATGTCGATCTCTGCGACCTCGCCGTTCGCGTACTCGACTTTGAGCTTGGAGCCGAACTCCTTGATGGAGGAGTCGCCGACGCAGGTGATCTTGTCCGACAGCTCGCGGATCTGCGGGTCGGCGAGGCGGTCCTTTTCGTAGCAACGCACGCCGTTGTCGGAGCCGTACAGGAAGCTGTTGGCCGTGGTGAAGTAGGCCGAGAACTGCGCGTCGACCATGTTCTCCGGGTGGATCTTGTTGGGGATCGGGGCGCCGACCACGCTCACGTTGGCCGGGCTCAGCGACAGCGTGATGCTCTTGACGTCCTGCGCCTTCGAGCAGCCCTTGTCGCGGCCCAGCTTCACCGCGTGCTCGATGAAGCCGTGCGTCATGCGGCACGCCGGGAACGGCTTCAGCGACGTCTCGAGGAACTCCCACCTCTTGCCCAGATCCGCCGTCAGGTACACCAGGTCCTTGTCCGGCTTGGGGCTGTACGCGTGCAGGAACCCAAAGGTGCCCTCGAAGATCTTGGCCGCGCCGATGACCCCCGCCTCGGCCAGCGCCACGCTCATAAACGCATCGTGCACCGCGAAGCCCGGGTGGAGGCGTTTGTTCCAGCTCCCGTTCTCGAGGTATTGCATCGACCCGGCAGCCTTGGATCCGGCCAGGCCGAATGCGTTCTCGACAACCTCGACCGACAGGCCCTTGAGGACCGCGATTGTCGCAACAGCGCCGAAGATGCCCGCGGTCGCGGTGTTGTGGAAGCCGCGCGAGTAGGCGTCGTTGCCGAGCTCCTTGCCCAGGCGACAGGTGATTTCGTACCCGACAGCAACGGCCAGCAGGAAGAGGTCCATGCTCGCCTTGTCGCCCAGCAGTTCCGCCTGGGTCAGTCCCGCCCCGATGGCCGTGACGCCGGCGTGCAGCGTGCCCTTGGCATAGGTGTCGTCAAAGTCCAGCGAATGGCCCAGCGTGGCGTTGAGCAGGCCCGCGTACTGCGGCGTGAAGGATTTACCCTTGCCCAGGACCGTGCAGGAGCCGTTGTCCTGGCCGCCGAGGGCCTTGACGGCCGCGCAGAATGGCAACGTCGACTCGGACGACTGGCTCGCCGCGAGGGTCACGCCAATGAAGTCGAGAATGTACTCCTTGAGCCGGTCTCGGATGTGCGGGGTCAAGTCTTTTGTGCTCGCGTTGGCGACGAAGTTCGAGAAGATGCTGGTGACGGGGATGTCGACCGGCTTCTGTGCGGCATGGCCGTTGACGGCTGTGTTGGAGGCAGGCATGGCGAGCCCGAGGGGAGGAGAGGGGTGGTGGTAATGGTGCGAGAGAAAAGGAGAGAAGAGGATATGTCGGGACGGGTGCAAAATTTCAGTCCTCTAAACTCACTTTGTTATAAAATGTAATATTCTCCAGAGGCCAAGTACCGATGCAGTAGAGATAGGGTGAATTTCTATAGCCTCGCGGTACTCGTGGATAGCGTGGTAACTCGTTGGAACAGAATAGAGATGGAATGGACA